AGGCTTTTAATATCCCTCTGGTGGCTCTAGAGATGAAAGGGCAGTAACGCACCTAAGAGAATGGGCCTGGGAGCTGCAATAAGATTGTACCGAGGGAAGGAGAATTCACAGGACTTGGTAATAGATCAGATGTGTGCTGGTGATGAAACAGTGATGACAAAGGAGGAGTTAAGAGGGTAAAGGGACAGACAATGTAAGTGAAAGTAATTTTTAAACTATATACAAAGTGAAGAACACCAACTAGACAGTGGCAGAGCCAGGAGAAAAACCTTGTCTCGAGTTAATTTTCTTCTACCACAAAGAAAAATCATAACTGAAAGTACTAAATAAAAATATCCTCAGAAGCTTTAAAATAAAACTTTATTGTACTATAGAGAAATTTAATAGATTTTTTTTCTAATTTTCTGTGGAGTATCAAGGTTGTTTCAAAGATGGGCTTTGAAGAAATAACCCTACAATTCATTAGATGTATGATTTTGTGCAAGTTTTTAAACTTTCTAAGCCTCATGTCACTGATGTTTGAAATGGACAGTAACACTTAATATAGCACTGTTTTGAGCAATAAAAGAAATAATGCATGGAAAGCACAGTGCCTGGCATGTATTTGGTGCTCAACAATTTGTATCATTATTACTACTAATGTGTGGAAAAGAGTTAACATAGCAGGCCTTTGAGACCACTCTCCCGGGAAAGGCCTGCCTACAAGGTTGGCCCTTGGCTGGCATCTGGGAACTCAGACTTTGGGAAAATCCCACCATTCCCAGCACTGATAAGAATAGCTCATTGTTCCTAAATCATTTGTGCGAACAATATGGTTTATGCTGAACACCTTCTTTCCTTCTGGAGTCTGGAATTGGGGCATATGTTAGACAGTGGGTGTTTATGTGACCAGCCTCCAACAAAAACCTTGAGCACTGAGTCTCTAAGGAGCTTCCCTGGTAGACAACATTTCACAATTGTCACAATTCAATGCTGGAGGAATTATACGCACCCTTTGTGACTCCACTGAGAAAGGACTCTTGCAAGCTTGTGCCCGGGCTCCTCCAGAGTGGCCCTATGCACCTTGTCTCTTTGCTAATTTTGCTTTGTCTCCTTTCATGTAATAAATCACAGCTGTGAGTATCACTATATGCTGAGTCCTGTGAGGCCTTAGTGGATCAGTGAGCCTGGGGGTGGCCTTGGGGATCCCTGACACAACTAGTCTCCCTACTCCTCGACTTCATAAACCATTTCCCACTTTCCACACTGCAGCAGTATTACAGACAACAAACCAGCCACCTTGGTCATACCAAAATCCAATTGTAAAAGGTTCCTGATTTCTTAGTTAAGGATAGTTGCAGATTTACCTATTACTTGAAATTTTTTTTATTCAACATCTCAACATACAGGAATCTCTCCACTCCCTGTTTTCTCACCATTATTTAATAAGCCTTTTTCCTGACTAAACTTCAGGCCTGCTCTTCCCTGGATTCCATCTTAAATACCAGATGGGTCCTCCACTGAACTATCAGGTAGTCTAACCCATGTGTCCTTGTGCTCCCTGACCAGAAAGCAAGACCACTTACAAAACCCCCAGTGTCCTTTGCTCTGTATTATTATAGGTAAGAGCAAATAATATAAATTGCCAGGAAGACTCTTTACCAGTTGACTAGAACATGCAGAAACATGAGTTAATTTTGACACATGAGTAATACATGAGTTAATTGTGAGCCATAAGAGCAAGGTGGACAAACCAAAGAACGGCCCACGGTGGAAAGTGAAACACAAGTTTTCCCATATCAGACTTGGAAGAAAGGCTTAACTGAATTTCTCGTCAACTAGAAGAGAATTCCTCAGCATACTTCGAAAAATGTAATAAACTGTACTTAATAGGAAGAATTTCAATAAAAGCTTGTTGCCGTCATGTTGAAGGAGCTGGGGTCCCAAGAACCAGGAGAGGATGGATGTCTGTCTCACATTATGATTAACTGAGAGTTTTCATAAAGCATCAGTGGCAATTAATTGTTAAGAACAAACTAGGGGGGCCAGCCTGGGGGCACAGCGGTTAAGTGTGCACGTTCCGCTTTGGTGGCCCAGGGTTCGCCGATTCAGATCCCAGGTGTGGACATGGCACTGCTTGGAAAGCCATGCTGTGGTAGGCGTCCCCCATATAAAACAGAGGAGGATGGGCACGGATTTTAGCTCAGGGCCAGTCTTCCTCAGCAAAAAGAGGAGGATTGGCAGCAGTTAGTTCAGGGCTAATCTTTCTCAAAAAAAAAAAAGAAACTAGGAATCAGAGCTGCTAGATCAATCAATAGCCTACTCATTGTTTTTCTTTTAAAAACAGAACTGTGAACAACTAAAATAAGTATCTCCAGGACTATTTATTTTAACCCCTGAAGGGCCCCCATGGTTCTTCTAATCCACCTCTAGTGACTGATATTTTTAAAATATTTTTTAAATACCTGTTGATTCTCATGGGTTGCCCACATCACAGCCCTTCTTAGATCTCAGCCTCCAGGGCTAGGGAGATGAAAACCAGAACATTCATCCACGGAAAACAAAGTACTGAGCATAGTACCCAAACAGGGAAGAGATACACAGTGAGGTGCTACTGGGCTTACCCAGAAGGTAGGCAGAGAGTTGTCACACAAGAATTCAGCCCAGTATTTTCAGAACTTGGGTTTTTCAAGAATTCAGATTCTTATCTTAGAATTCCTAACTTTTTAACATTGACAACTGTTTATTCTTAACTGTGAGAGACAAACAAATCTGTGATTATATTTCAAGCTGAAGGTCATAAGTATGCTAATAACTGTCAGAAACCAGGAGGGATCAAAATGCCCAGCACATCAGAGGAGTGGGGGTGAAGGCAGGAATTAAGCTAATAGGACTATGCTCCCTGGGCCGGCCATCAGTGGCCAGGAAGGAGACAGATTCTGATGTTAAGTATCAGAGGCTGTGTTTTTACATGTTGTAACAACCTCCTCATTCTGTCCTTTCTGGTTCTCACAGCGACTGAGGCTGCTCCCAAGCAAGACAGCAGGCCAGATTCTGAAATGACAGGTTCCACTATTCTCTTTATTCTGTTTAAGCTAAAGCAATTAGGGCTCATTAACTTTGTGCACTTAGTATCTTCAAAGTAACTTAATTCCAACATATTTCAGTTGTATCAGTTCATATTTCAAAGCAGATAATGCAGGTTTCTGAGGGTTTTTTGGTTAGTAAAACCACATTTTACCACTTTCAGTGTTATATTTCTATTCTTTTCTTAGACTTACTATATTAAATTCAAATTATAACATAACATTACCAAACAGCAAAAATTTATTAATGTTTCCCCTTACAATCTATTTTAGGTTTTAAAATAATTCTTATTTCTGGTCCTACCTGAAACCCTTTTGGAACTCTGAATTTTTCAGATTTAACAAATGAAATATGGCACATATACCATATATTACATACCACTCCCAGCACGGCCTGGGGTAGCCCCACATAATTAAACACATTGATATTTATGCATATATATACACAAAAGATTCATACTGAGTAGGATAAACAAAGACTAAACATAGCCTCATCTCCAGTCCAGTTTTGCAACTAAAAGATCTTCTGAAGTTTTGGTCTTCAGCATTTTGGGGATTTAGGAAGGTGGATAAAGGACTATAGTCGTAAATTACATGAACCTGCAGAATTCCACAGGTTGCAATGACAAGCTACAGCAGAAATTAACAGAGTTGAGGACCACCAGTGAGAAGCAATGCCGTTCTGTCTGAATTGGGGGAACCAAAACACAGAGAAATCAGTGGGAGTAAAAAAAAAACAAAATGAAAACAAGTAAATCAATTTCTGAGGAACGCACTCTAGGAAAAATGTAGAATTAAATTAAGTAAAACCAAACATCAAGATTACCAACAACCTGGGGGCCAGCCCTGTAGCTGAGTGGTTAAGTCTACTGGCTCCGCTTCGGCAGCCCAGGGCTTCACTGGTCAGGATCCTGGCCACGGACCTAGTACCACTCATCAAGCCATGCTGAGGCAGCATCCCACATAGCTCAACCAGAAGGACCTAGAACTAGAATATACAACTATGTACTGGGGGGCTTTGGGGAGGAGAAGAAAAAAAAGATTGGCAACCTATTAGCTCAGGTGACAATCTTTAAAAAAAAAAAAATTACCGACAACCCACTGTAACCAACAAGACAATAATAGCATGGGGTCAACAAGAACAAATTAGTCTCCAGCCACTGCCTGGAACCCAAGAATATTTCTCATACGGAGGAGCATAGCTGGACCTGCAGTACCAGACAATGCATTCCCACCATGCCAGGAGAAAAAAGGTGGGCCAGAGGTGATGACACATTTATGCACCTCATCTAGTGGTAGAACGAGAGGCTAAAGCAATTGGAGAATCAGGAGGAGCTCGCTGACAACACGCTTTCCCTGTGCAACATGCTCACTGACCAGGTTTTTAGCGAGCTGCTTTTCCCTGCTCCCATCAAAGGAACTTTGCAGTAGCTGTTGACCACAAAAAAGGTAAACAGTTCTGCCTTGGGTAAACTTGAGTAATGTGTTAGGTCCACTAAATCACTAACCTGTTTTAAGTAACTTTCACTTAATAATGAAGACATATTCGTATAAAGCAATGGGCATAGACACAGTTTCTACGTGTTAAAGAAAACTTCCACATAATATGATAGTTTATGGGAAGGAACCATGTATACAATATACTTAATGAATTCCATAAGAATCTAAAACTGATGTAGGAATCTGTTTTCTCTAACAATTTAATTCAGTAAACCCATATAAAATGTACACTCATAGTTACTAAACCCATAATTAACAGACTTGTGAATAATTTCTATCCATACTCAAAACTTATCTTTCAAATCCAAATGATAACAAATCAATACCTTAATTTCATTAACCTAAAGCTTACTCCATAAGATTTGGGGGAAGGAGGGTTATTATAAAATAGTATCAACACAGAAAGCAGCAAAGTAAATTTTGATTGTCTCCTACCTCTGCTCGACCCTCATAGTAGGTTAACATGGACTTTGTTAGTACAAAAAGTCTCTCTTTGTAGTTTAAGGGCGATGTCTTCTTTTTCTGCTGTGACCTTTTAATAAGAATCTCTTCTAGAATAGTGTTAAAATTCATCTCGGTCTTCTGATCACTCCTTCTCCTGCCATTGAAGATCCCAGTATTCTAAAGTGAGAAAATAAACAGTTGACATAAAATGTGACAATTTAGTTTTCCAAAGATGTTGTCATTTCAAATTACCAAAATAGACTTCACCCTCCCCGCCGCTGGAGTCAATGAATGTTACTCGCTGCGCCTGGATTGAGAACGCCAGAGCACAAAAGCTCAGCCTCCCCCCTTCCCCAGTCTCCATCTTGCTCCTCATATCCCAGCATTTCACAAGAAAAGCTAAGTAAGGCTTGCCGTGACGATGGTTCCCTCCTTTGTCCTCCCCAGCATCCTTCAGCTTTCTGGCATGCTCTTCTGCTATTTGATTTCAGGGAAACAAATATCTTAGATGGAAAAGTATATTTCATCACCTGCATGGCTGGTTTGGGCTGGGATTGAAGTTGCCTCAGAATCTTGGTACACAAAATGGATGAGCACGTAGACATGGTAGACTTACGAACAAGTGAATCACCACAGTGGTAGATATAATTCAGTCTCCAGCTCTGATAAGGATGTGATCCTGATCAAGTGTCCTAGTCACCTGGGCCATGAGGATGTTCTCTGCTATCTACACTACCCCGGCTCCACAGTTCCCTTCCCTATGGCTTCTATCTCAATGACAAGAGAAAAGGAAACCCACTCAGTCACAGTTAACCCTACTCAGCTAACTTACCCTACACAGCTAACCCTCAGCCAACCCTGTATCACCCTGCCTACTCAGGGCAGATCTCGGCTGTATAAGGTCCTCAGCCCTATATTTGGAGCCCCCAAATCCAGACCATCCATACCTAGACCAAGCCTTCCAAAATTCAACAAAATTTAACTATCCAAAAACCCAAAGATACTCAGAAGATTCTTATTTGAGACAAATTAATTGACAACAGCCTCTTCTCTTCCATTCGCCACACGCTTATGAGAAGTCATTGTAAATCAAACCATAGAGGCAACAGGAGTCATGTGAAGAGCATAAGTGGTTATCTGAGAACATAGCCAGAAACTTGACACTGAGTTTGCTACTGAGGAAATTCTACCATCTTCATACCTAAGCTGATACCTCAGAAGCACCCTTGCAACTCCCTACTGCTGATCTGTCGTCATCTAATCAGGCCCCTCCATTTTCTGTAAGGTTACTTTCCAACAGCTTAACCTCTGAACAGCAGTTCGTTCATTTATAAAATATGGAGGTAAATACCACAAGGTTATTGTAAGGTTTAATGAGATGTGAGAAAGAACTTACTTATGAAAACACTATACAAATGTTTATCATCATTATTTTTTAAATTCTATTGCTATTTTCCTAGCTCAGAGCATTATGATCTGGACCATGATAGTAGCTTTCAAACCAGTCTTCCTTTCCCCAAGCTTTTGCTTCATTTTATTCAAACTACATACCCCTCATTCCCATTGGATCAATCTTCAAAGAGACCACTTTCATGGAGCCATTTCATTCATCAGAAAGCCCCAATAATGCCTCCTCAAAGCCTCCTCACCATCTGCGGGATAAAGTCGAAACTCCTCAATTTGACCCTGGAGATGGTCCACAATCTGGCTGCAACCTAACATCCAATCTGTACTCCCACCGCTCCCCAAACACTCCACACCCCAGTGAAAATAGCCGGCATTCATTTCCTGACCTAGAGTCCCCTCTCTCCAGCTATGAAAACTCTACTAGCTCAACACTCACTCCTTGATGAAGCCTTTCCTGATTATTCCAGTTAGTTAAAAACCTTTCAATTCCTGAATCCAAGATCTCTGTATCACCCATCATAGAGCTCATCATTGTCTTTCATGTTCTATAGCAATTGATGTAAATATTCTAACTTCTCTACCTAATTTTAAACTCCTAAAAGAAACAGTTTGCAACCTTAAGTGCACCTTAGAATCACGTAGGGAGATTCTTTTTTAATACAATGTCCAGAACCCGCACCCAGATACTTTGATTCAATTGGTCTGAGGTACGGCCAGGGCATCATGATTTAATGTGCAGGTAGATTGAGAGCCACTATCTTAAAGGAGGAGATTGGGCTCTTAGACTAACTCTTTATACCACTCTTATTTACCATAGCCTCTCAATAAGCAAGTGGATAACAAACCCAATTAACCCATTAGCTATCCTAAGCTGGTAAATCAGAGAAAAGCTCTTGTTCCTTTGCATCTTAATTTGTCCTCCTTATTCTAAATCAAAATTTCCCAAGAAACTGTCGATGTGTAAATACCACTTATTTGGAAGTCATCTTTTCATGTTTGTGCAACATATTTTCAATGCAAGGTAAAAATGATGACTTACAAGAATGATGTATAAGGGGAAAAAAGTAAGCTTCATCCTGGAAACAGGCCATAGGCAAATGTGTAGTTTCCAACCCACTGAGCAATACCTTAGTTACCAAATGGAAGGTAGACTTTTGGAAGGCCCAGGAGGGTAAGTGGGGTGTGGCTCACTTGCAGTTCTAGAAGCAAAAGGTCTCAACATCAGGGATGGGAAAATATTTCATGCTGAATGCATTGAAAAGAATAATAACCTTATCTAATTTACATGAGATTAATAGTCTTATAAAGAATCATACCATTTGAGTGGAAAGGAATCCTAGTCATTACCTAATCTATCTCATCCATTTCACAAATTAACAAGCTGAGGGTTAGAAAGTTTAGCGACTTGCCCATGGTCCAGGAAAAAAAGCCTCCTGGTTCCAAGCGAAGGGGTCTCTCCACCATTCTGTACCATACAGTAGAAAGTTCACTGTTGTTTTAAGAATTCATTGGTCAAGGGAAATCTTGGCCAAAGAAATCAGTTAAAGTTCACGGAGATAAAAAGGAAGGAAAATTCTCCTCATACAGACTTCCAGCGAAAGGTGGAGGGTTGAATGCACACATTAGCAATGGCTCCCCTCTGAAATCCTATTAAAATCAGTTCTTTCCTTTTATTGCTGTTGCCATTATTAAGGAATTAACTCTCAAAGAAATAGAAAACAGGACAGGAGATAACAACAAACTTTTGGAAACTGGAAAGCAAATAAACGTGGTGGGTTCAGCTGGGAGGAAGTCTTGAAACGACCCAATTTATGCTGCAAAACCTCCAAATAGCTCAAGGATCAGGAGAACCTGTTATGTCTAAGAGAGGTGGTAAAGAACGACTTACTGCAAAAGAATTGTGTGCAGGTCTGTTTAAGAAATAGACTCCCTTAATCCCCTCTCCTATGCTATATAGCTAGATGACTAACCCTCCCCAACCTTGGCAGAGAAAAAGAAGTTTATTTTCTAAAGGCTATAAAACAGAGCGTCTCTCTACTAGGTGAGACTATGAACAGCTGAGGCTCGAGTACCATACTGCAAACAGAGGCTTAAGTGAACCCGTACAAGGGGATATACTCAATGTTGACATCACTCAGCTCTCTTCTCCCACCTGGTTCCAGGACACTGGATAAGAGGAAAGATCTAAACATACAGACACAAGAAAGTTTTCAAACAGAAATGGCCCAGCCAGATCACCCTATAACGTTCACAGTCAGCAAGATCCACCCACAAGCACAAAGCTTGCAATTGACTTTGTGGAGCCTCTCTCTTATAAATGAGAGAAAGCCAAGGATCACCAGACAACTAAGGGAAGATTCTAACATGAATTCCAGGTCAGACAACAAGTGGAGAAGAAAGCAACTTGGACGAAACAAATCCTATGCAGAGAAAAGAAAATGCTTAAAAAAAGAAGACTCGATAAAATCAAAGAGTTAAGAGAAGACACTGTAACGCATGAAACAAGGTCAGGATGTAGCCAAAATAAAAAACACAGAACCAAAAAAGAGACGCATTGGAAAAAATAAGATAGCAGAAATGAAAAACTCAACAGAAGAGTTAGAATATAAAGGTAGGAAATCTCTCAAGAAATAAAACCAAAAGTAAAAACAAAAAACAAAAATTGGAGTGGAAATATAACAAAATGAGAGGACCCACCCAGAAAGTTCAGCATCTCAAAAATAGGAGTTCTAAAAGGAGAAGCAAAGAAGACAGTGAGAAAAAAATCAAAGAAGCGATTTAGGAAAATTTCCTCAAACTGAAGGTTATTTCCAACTTGAAACAGAACCAAATCAAGGCTCATCTCGTAAAATTTCAAAACTATGGGGACAAGCAGAAGATTCAGCAAGCTTAAAAGGAGGTTTCATAGAAAAGATCAAAATTCAGAGTGGCAATCATCAATATCAATAGTGGAAGCTAGATTCCAAAGGAAATTGATTTCTAATCTAAAATTTTACACTCAGCCCAATTATCAATGAGTACAGTGCCAGGAGAATAAAGATATTTTTCAAATATGCAAGGCTTTAGAAATTTTACCTCCTACTCACCCTTCTCAAAAAGCTACTTGAGGATGTACTCTACCAAAATAAAGCAGTAGACCACAAAATACATGGAATCCAAGAAACAAGAGTTCCAACACAAAAGAGAGGTAAAGAGAATATCCCTGATGACGGTGAAGGGAAATCCTAAGATGACATTGAGTAGTGGGCCAAGAGAGCAATGGGGCCAAATTAGATCTAGTTAGAAGGTTCTTGGGAAGAATTCTTCCAGGAGATGAAATTGAAGGTACTGGGAGGAGATCTACAATAAACTAGTAAAACTGAGCCAAATTAAAAAAATAAATCAATCAATTCCAGGGAAAACAAAAAATGACGCAGGAAAAATAATCACAGTATACTACAGAGTTCAGCCAAAAATAAGATCTACAACATTATAATAAGGTAAACAATAAATAATAATATTACTACTAACGTAAATAGATTGGGGGCGAGTGCAGGAAATGTGCTTGTGTGTGGGTGGGAAGTGTGTTGAGAAAGAGAACTACCTCCTCCGCAGTGGTAGTGGGAAGTCAGTAGATCAGACCTAAAATCAAAAAAGCAAGAAGTGGCAACATAAGCGTGTTACTTAGAGATTGACCATACCACAATGGTTTAGAAAAATAAAAGTAGTTGCCTCTGAGAGTCAGAAAATTCTTGGAAGATGGCAGTGTAAAGGTGTGTGTTCTCTACTCT